GTTTCAAAAGAAAGATATATTCATAATAATTTGATAGCTTGACATCACAGATACCATTATCCTACCTGAAAGAACAGGGACACATAAGAACGTAATTTAGGTATGGGTGCGGGTATGGGTGTAGGGTGTGGGTGAGGGTATGGGTGTGGGGTGTGGGTGAGGGTATGGGTGTAGGGTATGGGTGAGGGTATGGGTGTAGGGTGTGGGTGAGTAGACGATCCGCATCCATACCCCACACCCACATCCACACCGACACACCCACACCCACACGCACACCCATACCCACAGTCACATCCACACCCCACACTCACACCCCACCCACACCCACACCCTCACCCTCACCCACACCCACACCCTCACCCACACCCACCCTTTTTCTCGTCTTTTTTTGCGAAAAAAACGGGTGTTGACCAGTAAGGATTGTTTGTTTTCGGAAAAAAACTAGTGCGTTGGATAGAGCTCATCGAGTTCTATTTGGAACCAGTGCGATCTCAGTTGGAATCGGGCGTGTCGCGAATCGCGAGATGAAATACTCGAATCCTGACCTAGGATATCCTACGTTCAATTTTCACAACCTTAAAAACCGGTCACACAAAGTTTTGCTTTTTTTTGGAAACAAAAAGTACACAATTGAAATAAGCTTTACAATGTAGATTGTAGAGCTTTTTACGCTGCACCTTGTGGTATATGTTGTTTTCTAATAAAACGTATTTAGAGATTAAAATATTAGATACGAAGTGCGACCATTTATTTGAAGTCACACGTTACTTTCTATGAAAATAGAATCGACTCGAAAGGGTTAATTTTTAAATTCACTACAGCGAAAAAAATTCAAGTGGCAAGTATAAGATAACATAGATCGCTTATTCTCTCTTTGATTTCAATAACAATAAACTAGCAAAGATTAAGTTAAAATTATTTTAATGCTCTTTAAATAGATAATGATAAAATAAGAATGTTTATTTTCTTTGATTAAACATAGTCGTATTTATCAACAATAAGCTGTGATTCATTTGAATACACAATAGATTTACAAGTGTCAACAGACTTGACATCAGCAATCTAGAATAAAAATCCAATCAATAAAAATATTAAAGTCTTTTTATTTTTATTTTTTGGGCTTTACTTTAATATCACAATATGATGTTTCAGCAATAAAATCTACTTGAATGGGAAAAAAATCAACTGATTTTCCTAGAATTGTAAATTCTAATGCTCCTTCAGAATTTGTTTGATCAACAACAGGTAATGTCCATATTAATGTTGTTTTTCGATTATCAAATTGATAATCACCATCAAATTTTCCAATCACTGGTATTTGTCCACTGTCCCTTTAAGAAATAAAATTAAAAATGAAGTTCTATTACTTTTTTATAGAATCATTCTTACGATAATGGTACCATTATTTGAACATCTTTTAAAACGAAATTTCGATTTTGTAATTCATATTCAACATTAACATCACAACCACCATTTGGTGTTTCATTAGGCCAACGATTAACTATAAAGAAGGGTGTGGCTGAGGGTGTGGGTGTGGCTGAGGGTGTGGCTGTGGGTGTGGCTGAGGGTGTGGGTGTGGCTGAGGGTGTGGGTGTGGCTGAGGGTGTGGCTGTGGGTGTGGCTGAGGGAG